GGCGAGGAGATTATAATGGAGTGTTCAGTGAATAGCAATCCATTAGCAAAAGTCATACTATTCACACACCACGGCATCCAATTAGTCACCGATTCACAGTCAGGTATGTCTTCATCCATAGCACACATACACCTGCCTGTCTGTCCCCATCCATCCCCTCCCACATCACACCACATCACTACTACCCTAACAGCTATATCAGTGCCCCTATTATACCCACAATCGATGCCATAAATCAACCGCATGTATGATCACATCCTAACTCCCACACAGTTTTTATCAATCCTATAATGAATTGTATTGTTATATTTATCGCACCGGTATATGTGTGTGTTTCGCGCAGGTATTATAGTAAATAACTCGTCGCTGGTCATCACCAGCGCCCGACCCATACACCGGGGCTCATATCAGTGTCTGGCCATTAACTCGCAGGGAAAGGGTATGAGCCGTGAAATTAATATTACCATTCATTGTAAGTATAGATATTAGGAGTGAATATATTGGTGCGATTAGCACACAGTATTGGCCCAAATTGAGTAGTAATTAACCATTAAATATGTAAAACAGATGCGCCCGTTTGCCGTCAACTGTCCACAACCGTACGCGTGCTATCACTGGACGAACCGTTACGGCTATTATGCGCCGTCGACGCCGAGCCCGCCGACGGACTACGATTCCAGTGGCGCTCAAACTCGACCGCATTCCTGTCCGGCCGCGACTTTGTCGACGACGGCTCCGTCAGTGCGCTAACCCTACCGCCCGACTCAGTGGCCAGACTGACGGACCCAACCGACCCGATCCAGTGTACGGCCAGCAACGCTGTGGGCGTCGTACGGGAGCCCTGTGTGTATCACTTCGCTCAGCCCACTCGACCCGTACCGGTCACCGATTGTCAGCTCCGGAACCGTACGGCCAACGCTCTGATTGTTGATTGCGTGGCCGCCACAGCTCCGGCTGACCCGCCACCCAACCAAAGTTATCTCATTGAAGTGTTTGATAGTAATCACGCGATGGTCACTAATGAGACCAACGACGCGGTGCCCGTGTTTGCGGTCAAAGGTCTGGCACCGGTGGCCAGTTATACAGCGCGCGTGTATGCCGTCAACCGGTTGGGCAAAAGCGATGCCTTCCATATCAAACTTCAAACGCATAAACTTTTTAATAAAAAATTCAGTAATTATTTTGTTTATATTTAATATGTTTTATATTACTCATAGAATCGTGATAATTAAAATTTGTTATAAATATTGTTTTAGGATTATTTGAACTAAAATTTATTAACTAGTTTATAATAAAGTAATTAATTAAACAAAAATTAGTATTAAGCAGTTAAAAATGATTGATAACTATATTATTTTATAACATTATAGTTTTGGACAGCCCTCAGACGGATACCTATGACATGTGGACAGTAATGGGGGTCGCGTTACTAGTGATCGCAATATTGGTGTTAATTATAATCACAATAATATGCAAAATACGTGTTAGAGATCGCAATAAGTGCAAGAAAAATGACAAATTGACCGCCGATTCCAATGATGAGCAATCATTGGCCCATAAAATGCTCAATAATATAGACAATCAAAAGTAAATATAGAAATTTGTTATTTGTTTGTATTTTTTATGATAACAATAAATATATAATTTTTTTTATTAACAAAATAGATATTCAATATATTTGGTGCCAAACGATGCGATCGATCAGAATATTCTGTTGAGTGATATCAGGAATCCTGATTTGATTCCCGAAATATATGGTAATTATATTTTGTTGATTTATTTTTGAATTTTATTTAAGAAATTTTTTTGTTATTGATTACAGATATTGAAGGCATTGAGGGTCTGTCCGATCGCACCGACTGTTTATCTATAATGACGGGCACAACGGCTTCGGTAACGACTACGGGGGCGGCGAATCACATACAATCA